TAAACAAAATCTCATGATTTTGATTGGTGATCTACATAAAAAAAAGTCACGTGGGTACAAGGCTTTAGCGGACCCCTAAATTTGGAGATGATCTACATGCCGCATAAATTATTTTATTGATTCTTATATATAACATTACTGCATCAAAAAGTAACCCTAAATGCATCAAAAAAGTAACTCTAACGCACCTTGCTTTAGCCATACCTAAACATGGTAAAGATCATCGAGTTACAGGCAAATACGTATATATGTACGCACGTACCTAATACTTTTAAATTTAGTTATTGCCGTATAGACGATGTTTTCCAATAAGTTCATATTATAAATAGGTAGTGATTTGGATCCAAATATTTCCATGGATAAAGGTGACGAATTTGAATTTTATTTGGAATCTGCTGAAAGTGGAGACCCATCTGCACAATATAACCTCGGATGGTGTTATCAAAATGGTATAGGCACAACCAAGGATGAAAAAAAGGCATTTGAATGGTATTTGAAATCTGCTGAAAGTGGTTATTCCGATGGACAAAATAGCCTTGGGTTTTGTTATCAAAATGGCATAGGCACAACCAAGGATGAAAAAAAGGCATTTGAATGGTGTTTGAAATCTGCTGAAGGTGGTAATTCGAATGGACAATATAACCTTGGACTTTACTATGAAAATGGCATAGGCACAACCAAGGATGAAAAAAAGGCATTTGAATGGCATTTGAAATCTGCTGAAAGTGGTAATTCGGATGGGCAAAATAGCCTTGGATTTTGTTATCAAAATGGCATAGGCACAACCAAGGATGAAAAAAAGGCATTTGAATGGTATTTGAAATCTGCTGAAGGTGACAATTCGTATGGACAAAATAACCTTGGATGCTGCTATGACGAAGGTATAGGCACAACAAAGGATGAAGAAAAGGCATTTGAATGGTATTTGAAATCTGCCGAAGGCGGAAATTCTAATGGACAAAGCAGCCTTGGATTATGCTACGAAGATGGCATAGGCACAATTAAGGATGAAAAAAAGGCATTTGAATGGTATTTGAAATCTGCTGAAGGTGGAAGTTCGATTGGACAAAATAACCTTGGATTATGCTACGAAGATGGCATAGGCACAATTAAGGATGAAAAAAAGGCATTTGAGTGGTATTTGAAATCTGCTGAAGGTGGTAGTTCGGGTGGACAACAGAATCTCGCAATGTGTTATCTGGAAGGCAGAAATACTATAAAAGATGAAAAAAAGGCGTTTGAATGGTTTCAAAGGTCCGCTGAAGGTGGTTATCCTAGTGGTCAATATAAGCTTGGGTTATGTTATCGAAACGGTATCGGAACATCACCTAATCAGGAAAAAGCTATTGAATGGCTACGAAAAGCCAGAATCAACTCACAAAAAGCAACTAGCTGTGAAAATCTTAATATTGATGATTTTTTAAAAAAATTATTATTAGAAAATAATTTAATATCATGGATTCCATTCAATGAATTTAATTTTACAAAAGAAATTGGGAAGGGCGGGTTTGCAACAGTTTATTATGCTTTATGGACACATACTGTTACAGGCGGTATGTTTACTGAAGGTGTTGCACTTAAATTATTTCATGGAAAAAATGATAGTTGTCGGGAACTTGTAAAAGAGGTAGATATTTTGGTATTTTAATGTTTCATTAAATTATAAAGTTAAATAATAGTTTAATTAATAAATATTTTTAAAGTTAAATGCATATTCTAGGATTGGATCTAAAAATCCAACATTTTTGCAATGTCGTGGGATATCAAGGGATGAAGGTACAGGAGGTTATATTTTAGTTATGCAATATGCAAAGATGGGATCCCTACGTAAGAACCTTTTTGATATTGCACAAATGGAATGGAAGAAAAAGTTAGAACTGATATCTTACATTGCATCTGATCTTCAGATAATTCACTCGCATAATATTATTCATCGAGATTTACATAGTGGAAACATATTCCAAGACGATTTACATAATGCGTATATTGGAGATTTAGGATTTGCAACGGCAATAGATAAAACATTGAACACAGAAGATAAAGGAATTTATGGAGCTTTACCTTATATTGCACCTGAAATTTTACGAGGAAAACCGTTTACCGAAGCATCAGACATTTATTCTTTTGGAATAATTATGTGGGAAATTTCTTCAGGAAATATTGCCTTTTCTAAATATGAAGGTAATGAACAAAGCTTTTTTCTAGAAATTTGTGGAGGATTAAGACCTCATATTCTTAAAGGTACAGCAAAATGTTATGCAGAACTTTTAATGAAATGCTGGGATAAGAATCCAGATAAACGCCCATCAGCATTAAAAATTTATGAAACTATTACAAAATGGAAGAATGATTTGAAAAGTTTATCAGAATTTAAAGTCTCTGATCCTAACCCTAATTATAACACGATTTTCTTGGTTTTCATTTTACGCGCAACTTTTTCACTTAGAAAACAAAACACGTTTTGTTTTGACACCTGATCTTAAATTTTGATTGGTCAAAATTACTGGGATGAACAATTTTTTGTGGGAGCGCTACCTAAAATGGAGTAGTGCATACTGCAGCTATATCTCAACGTGAGCTGTGATGCAATTGTTTAAAACTCCGACACAGAAAAGCCTTCCTGAATGCTTTGTTAAACGCAATTTTTCGTATTGTTCTTTAAATGCGCCTTTCTTAGAGTTTGGTCCGAACAGAATGCATTTAGGGAGATTTCTCTGTATTTGGATCCCAAATATCGCTTAAGTCACCCGTTTATAACGCCACGACTTATTTTGGAACACAAATTCATTGATGCAAATCACGTGGCAAAGTAAGAGAATGGTAAATACTTGAAATACTCGATAGAGAAAATTTTCAATGTATTGCATATTTTCTTTTTTTTACGTCAAGTTTTAATTTTCATTCTGTTTTTTCAATAACAATAATAAACCCGAAGAATCATATTTCTGATTGGCACAGTTTATGTCATTGAATAACACGAATAATATATTCTGGCTAATAAAAATTCACTTACGCATATTAGAGAAAAACTTGTTAAAGTTTTATTTAAAACACTTTATTCATTTAACTTGTATAATATTTAGAATGTCGATTTATTTAAGTACAGTACGTACAGTACGTACGTAAATTTCTGTGGTGTCATGTGACTGAGTGCGACGGGCATGAAATTTGCATCTAAACATGGGGGTCGGTTAAAGCCAGGTGCGTTTGGTATAAATTTGGGGGGATCGCTAAAGCCTTGTACCCACGTGACTTTCGAAGTTTTAATTGTAATTAGGGTTAGGGTTAGTTTTGTTGTTAAGGTAATGGCAGGCATATAAGTAAAATTTCCTTCCCGACATTTTTTATTAATGTACCAAGACAGGTTTAGACTACCGTTTTTCATATTTTCTCGTTTTTTTGATTTTTTGATTTCTTCGGGCTGATCCGTGTAAACAAAATCTCATGATTT